TCCAACACCACAATTCAAAGGTATCAATTCTACGATCTTCTTTATTCACTCTCCAGCTTTCGTATGCATATGAGGTTATTGAAAATACCATGGCTTGGGTCAGTCACACCTTAGTCCTCAAGCTGACATCTTTGCTCTTCAACACTTTAAAAAGGTCTTGTGCAGCAGATTTACCTAATGCAATACGTCATTTGATTTCTTGACTGCTGCTTCCATGAGTGTTGATAGTTGATCCAAGAAGAATGAAGTCCTTGACAACTTCAATCTTTTCTCCATTGGTAAGAATGTTATTTACTGGTACAGAGTGAGGATTTTTGTTTTCTTTACATTGAGATGTAATCCATACTGAAAGCTGTGCTCTTTGATCTTCATCAGTAAATGTTTTAAGTCATCTTCACTTTCAGCAAGCAAGGTTGTATCATCTGCATATTGCTGGTTGTTAATTAGTCTTCCTCCAATCCTAATGCCACGTTTTTCTTCATATTAGGAGCCATCAAGTCTGTACTGACTCATAGACCAATCCTATACACAATAGAATGAGATACTGCCGGGCCCTGGGATAACCTCACAGTTGTCCCACATTTGAGCCCTAACCTTTAGAGTTGTGAATTGTAAGCTAGGCTCATCTCCTGCTAATGCTGTTTTGGGAGAGGAGGAAAAAGGCTGCGCCATGACCTAAAAAACTGATTTGTGAATGAAGAGTGATTATAGCTCCTCTGCCGCCTGGGGCTCCCTACTCTCACCCTGAGCTAGGACTAATATGGGGTAGGGAGTGACTTTCCTCAACTCCAATGACTGACAGGATAGCTGACAGCCTTAGGGAAATGAGTTAACAGGCCACAATAGCAAGATATATGAAGAATACAACCATTTAAAAGAAAAACAACATAATAATCTCCAGATTTTACCATGAACAGAAACTCTAGAACCTAAGTCAGCCACCTAATCATACCACAATAAATGACAGAAAACAGTAGCAATATGAAAAAAGAACAAGAAAACAGAAAAGTCAAGCAAAAATATAAATGAAAAATAATTGAATTAAATAATATATGTTGTTGTTGTCAAGTGCCATCAAGTCAATTCCAACCCATATCGACCCTGTATAGGGTTTCCGAGGATGGTATTAATAGCTAAATGGATATAATATAACCAGAGGACAAAACTGAAATTTGAAAGATCAGATTGAGTGAATTTCTCAGGAAGAAGGAAAATACAAATCAATAAATTTAAAATACAACAAAAACAAAACTAAGACCAAAGAAAACAAATATATATATATATATATACACACAATTATCTAAAATTAAAAGATAATATCAAAGTGATGGTGGTTGGCGGGAGAGACTCCAAATAATGAGAATTTCCTGTAAATCTTTACATACAAATTTTAAAAAGAAAAGTAAATAGAAACAGAAACAGTAAGACAAACTGAAATAGTAAGGATGCTAGAAATAGATCTGAATATATAAGAACAAGTATTAAGTGCAGGAATAATAAACATTAAAAATACTACATATGCATTATTTGGCCAAATTGTGAATGGAGTTTACAACTCATAATAATACAAGCAGTAAGCATCAAACCAAAATTATGATATAGATGCATTAAGAGGATAGAGGCATGGGAAGGCTGCATGTGTGTGGCAGGGTTGAGAGAACAAAGAGAGTAACATCCTTTCTCTCTGGTAGGAATCAAGAGCTACGACATAGAACAGACAAATCTAAGGTGTTTGAATAAGCGTATTAGAGACAGAAGTATATGATACAATAACTTGCTGTAAATGAAGTGACAATGGTTACTTTTAAGGAAGAGATACACTGAACCATTCATTCTGACTGGGGTCACAATTTTTGGTCCTCGATAGAAAGAGAGAAAAATAGGAAACAGAACTCAAATCATTATTGCTTTGTTTTAAAACCAGACAAACTGGAACAGTAGAGAACAGAGTACTCCCTGAGATCATCCTGAGACACATTTTAAACCTGAAGCAAGACTATCATGATATCATCTTTTAGGGAAATAGAAAGGTACACAAAATAAACAATAGGTTGTTGTTGTTGTTGTTGTCAGGTGCCATCGAATCGGAACCGACTCATAGCGACCCCATGCACAGCAGAACGAAATAATGTCCGATCCTGGGCCAACCTCACTACTGCCGCCACACTTGACGCCATCAATGATGTCACCTGGCTGATCCATCTCGTTGGGGGTCTTCCTCTTTTTCTCTGAC